GCAAAAAAAAGAGGAGGATTGGCAGATGTTAGCACAAGACTGATCTTCCTCACAAAAAAAAAAAAAAGAATAAGTTTGCTGACCCTCTTGTTAAATACCTGAATGACCATATGGAGGACAGCCACTTTGTTGACCTAAACAGCAACCCAGTTCATTACATAAGCAAGAAATAAGCCCCTGGAATTCTGGGCCCATTTGCTGTGATAGTTTGCCCTATTCTCATGATACATTCTTACTAAGCAAGAGCTAAACTAGGTAGTCCCACATGATTGACTGATGTAGATGATCTGGCCGACAGGTGTTAGAGCCATGTAGGATGACCACTATGCCCATGGGGCAGTACTGCCCCCCAGGACTCACCTCCAGGCCAAAATTGTCCATGGCGCTCTCTCTCAGTCCTAGGACCAGACTGACCCCAGGGAGTCTGACCACCTAATTATAGCCGAGCATCAAGGGCCTTGAGAGGAGTGAACATAATGGGATTTCTCCCCAGTGATCTGAGTGTCAAAGAGAAGAAGGTCCCTGAAACTCAAGGAAATGGCTGCAGTAACAATAACCCTAATGAAGCCAATTCCTGGGGAATTATCTAGTGGTCATGATGGTGGACAAGGTTGTCCCTGCCCTTATATTACTAACAGACTATCACTGCTCCACTTTTCCCATTAAGTAACGTATTTTGAGGTGTACACTTTTGTAAATCATTTAGAGGTGTTATTACTTATATTTTCTTTTTAATTTTACCATCATTTTAATGTTTAAAAATACAATAACACATTTTCCATGCTTACAATTAATTCATGGCAAGTTATTGAGGTCTTCCATTTATGGAAATAGTGTAAAATTTCCTTTTGAATGAGAGTGCTAAAGTAAAGTATTAACCCATTTAAGAAAACTGACAATAATAGTACGGATGGTATGCTGGATGGCAAAAACATAAGATTATTGTGAGAATAACTGAAGTTCCGGAAACACTGCTTATGTCTGGGCTGCACTAGGAAATGTGAAGAATATAGATTCAGGCAATATTGATCCAGATTGGATGGGACATTAGAGGTTACGTCACCCATAGCCACCCCTGCCTCTCATCTCCTTGATTTCAGATAGGATTCCCGAACATCACCCCGTGGGTTTCCCAGAACTCTGGTCTCCAGTGCTGTGTTCCCCACCATGAAGGCTCTGCCTGATTAACCCAACGATTAATAGACAAAGTCAAGTGAAGGGCCCAGCAGGACAGGGGCTCCTACTAGTCCAGTGCTTGTTCTAGCATGTGCTCTCCATGTATCTATTGAGTAAACTGATGGAGATGGAGAGGTGGGGGTGCTAATTTGGAGCCCCCAGAGGTGTCTTCTCTCCTAAGACCTGCCCAACCACTTAGGAGTTAAGGCCAGTTCCTAGGAGTTTACTCTTCAGACCATGTAGTTCCACACGGGAAACCTCAGGGAGTTCCCTGAGGGAACAGCAATAATCCCAGTCAATGGGCACTGAAACAAGAAGAGCTGGATCGCCTACAGCTAATGTGACGCAGGGAGATTATACATGTTAAGTAAAACTGAGGTCTGGCTTCAGGCTTCGTAGACTGCAGCCTCACCCATCACTTCTGCAGAGTCATCATGAGCCAGGAGTGGGCTTCCAGGCTGTAGCCAGACATGTCAAGGTCTGGGAGTGGTCTCTTCTGTTTGTGGAATTAGTTGGTACCACAAGTGGGCATGTGATTAAACAGTGGGGTTGGGAGAATAATTCATCACTGCCTTTTATATTTTTCTAAGTCAGCATCCGGCAGTCTTCATAGGCAAAGAGCCAGGGCTGTGTTCCCAGGTTGCAAAGGCCAGCTAACCAGGGCAAAAGGCAGGATGGTTATGCCTTAACAGCACTGTGTGCATGTGTGTGTGTGTGTGTGGTGTGCTAAGTGATTAGAAACAGCCTTGTTGTCTACTATGTTGTCTACTCTGAGGACAACCTAGATTGCCCCATGTGGATAGAGATAAGGGTGCTCTTTATTAGGGTACTCTCTATGACCCATGTTTCTTTTCTGGATAAAAGAGAGGAATCCCAGGCCAGGTCAATCTTTGCATAAGCAATGATCTGGAGACTGACCCTAATGCTGTCACAATGTCATCACCCCACCACAGGGCTCCCCCTCACCGACCGGCCACAATGTCTAGAATTAATGTAAATGAGCATCCTTTTCCTAATATTGAATCTCCAGAAGATTCAATCAGCTATAACCTATGGCCTTGGACAAGATCCTGAGAACTTTTCTAGGATTGTCATGTGTTTTATGGCTGCTGGTTGCACAGTTCTCCCTGATGTCAATATTGGTCTGGCCTGGACAAGGGCAGGCTTGCCAATGACACTGGAAGAACAGTGTGAGCGTGGAGAAGGCACAGCTGTCTCTTTACTGCGCTGGCCTGGAGAAAACCCTGCTTCACGTTTGCCCCCTCTGCAGTGGCAAGAATGAATCTCATGAATCAGTTAATGTGAGGGGGACAGGGGCATGCGCTCCTGGCTGGGTAGCACCTTTTCAGCGACAAGTCTTCAGTGGGAGAGGGGACCATGGAGTGTGAGCCATGAGCAAGCACCTCCACCACCTGCTCACTACCTCTCCCAGGAACCCCAGCACCCCTGTTTCCCACCATCCTTCCCGGCAGCCGGAGGATCCACCAGGGGCTAGCAGGAAGGTGTGGCACTTTGAATGGGTGGAGGCGGAGGAGATCCTAGAAGAGAGAGTCTACGTGAGCTCATCAGCAGGGGAACCAAGCATGTGCTTAGGACACAAAGAAAGTCAGTTTGTCAGAAAGTTTTGACACCACAGCAGAGTGGTTGAGAGCATGGGCTGTAATGGTATGCAGATTTTGTTCAATCCTCAGCTCTTCCTCATACTTGTTGTGTGACTGTGCTCCAGTTCCTGGACCACATTGAGCTCCAGAAGATAATAGAATCAATTCAGGGGGTTATTTTGACAACTAAGTGAGATTCTACAAACAAAATACAGCACAGCATTTGCCACACAGTCAAATGAATGTTTGAATGAATAAAAGTGGAAAATACAAATGAGGATAAACACTCACAATACTATAGCCAGGAAATGACTGTTGTGATACTAATTAGATGTATAATCTTCCAGAATTTCTCCTGTGCAAATAAAAATATGTATTTTTACTAAAGTGGGATATTATACATGATTGGATTTTTAAAATAATATTTCTTTGTTTTAATGAAATATAATTCATATACCGTAAAATTCACCTTTTTAAAGTGTACACTCAGTGATTTTAGTAAATTCACAAAGTTGTGTAACCATCACCACTATCTAAGCCCTGAACATTCCCTCACTCCAAACAGAAACCTCATCCCATTAGCAATCGTTCATCATTCTCTCCTCTCCCAGCCCCTGGTAACCTCTCATCTACTTTCTTTCCCTGTGGATTTGCTTATTCTGGAAGTTTCTTATAAATAGAAACTTACAGTATGTGTCATTTTGTGTCTTGATTATTTCATTAGCATAGTGTTTTCAAAATTCAACCTTGAAATGAATGAAAACATTCTTTTGGTAACAAGTATCTATACTTCATTTCTTTTTATGGCTGAATAATATTTCATTGTTTGGATAGATCACAATTATTTGCCCATTCCTCAGTTGGTGGACATTTGGGTGTTTCCACTTTGGGGTATTATGAAAAATGTTGCTATACAAGTTTTTATATGGACATGTTTTCAATTACCTTGGGTAACAACCTAAGAGTGGAATTTCTGGGAAATGTGATAACTCTAGTGTTTAATTTTTGAAGAATGCCAAACTGTTTCCCCAAGCAGCTATAACTATTTTATAACCTGTTTTTTCCCCTTCATAATACATCACGACTGTCTTTCCTTGTCAATAATAGAGGTGTGCATCTCTAGTTTGAGTGAATCCGTAGTATTTCCTCAATCAGCTGTACCAGAATTTCTTAAACAAATCCCCATTGTTGGACATTTAATGATTCTATGAAACAGGCTTTGAGCATCTTCCTCATGTCCCCAGCAGATAAATGACACTTTCTCAGGTGTCCCCAGAGTACTTTGCATCCTTCTATTTCGGTGCTTGCACATTGCATTGCAGTCCAACCCCCACCCTCATCCCATCAGTATTATCTGCTACACAGTGAGCTCCTTGAGGAGATGGAACATGATTTGAATTTGTCTTTATATTTATAACACTTAACACAGTGCCAGGCATTTGGTAATTGCTTGGGGAATGAATGAATAAATGGAATATTGAATAAATGGAAGGATGGATGATGGGTGGATGGGTGAATGAATGAATAGAGCCAGGGACTGTGGAGGGATGGAGTTCATTACTCTAAGAACATTCTACCCAAACATCCCTGCCTCTAGGGGTAGTGAGTTCCCTGACAGGGGAGGTGTGAGACAAGAAGCTGAGTCATTTGACAGGAATACTGAAAACTTGATTTAGGCATCAGAGGGGAGACTGCATGAAATTCACCATGCATCAAAACTTGGCAACATAGAGCTCTATGAAGTTGCAGCCCAGGGAAGCTAAGGGATTTGTCCTCAGTTCCCCAGCTGAGCAACTGTGGGGCTGGGAGCTGCTCTAAAAGTTTTCAAGCTGGTTCTGGGAACCTCACCAAAGACTCTGTAAAGACTTGTCTAAAGGATTTTGTTGCTTGTGCCTCCCTTTGGGAAGTTCACAGTGCACTAAGGTTAGAGTTCAGTAAGGGAGAAACCCATATGTAAAAAGTTGTTTGACCAGTCTGTGACTATATGTAACTGGAGTTTACTCTGTACTATCTAGATAAAAGAGGGTAAACTCTGGGAAGTGAGGCCTAGAGGTTCCTAAAAGCCCAGAGAGATCCTTGGAAGGGAGAGAGCTTTTCTGCCTGATTGGCTATTGGCTGGGGAGTTGGGAGCTGAGGGCAGGGCAGGAGCTGGGGCTCTGGGGCCTGACTGCACAGCCCAGCGGCGCAGAGACCTGCAGGCCCGGGAGCTGCTGTCCTTCCACCATGTGGCTCTTCGCTCTGGTCCTGGTCTCCCTGACCACTTCCACAGCTTGGGGTGAGTCCTTCTGAAATATAAATAGCGGGGCACACTGGAAATCCTTGTCCAGGGACGAGGTGAGAGAGATGTTTATGGAAGAAAGGCGTGACAGATCTGGTTCAGCAGCAGAGCACCATCCAGTCTTGGAGCACCCAGCCCAGACAGCCCTGTGCAGGGGATGATAAACACCCGAGACCTCAGCTCCCTCAGCCACACGCACAGGAGGGCACCAGCTAACCTCATGCCTCCAGATGAGGCCTTTGAGAAACTCCATTTATTTTCCCTTGATATTAGTCCAGATATGGCCAAATCCTGAAGAGTAGCTTAGCAGAATATAAATATTGACTCGGGGGCCAGAGGCATGGTTTCGAGTCCCAGCTCAGCACTGACTAGCTATGTGTCCTTAGGCAAGGAACATCCCTTTTCTGTGCCTTGGTTTTCCCCCCTAAAATGGAGATGAGGACAGTACCTACCTCACTGGGCTGTTGTGAGGAGGAAATGGGTTGTTGTATCTAAAGAGTGTACCTCCTGGTATGAAGTAAGTGCAAAATAAAGATTCATAAATAAAAGGGTTGTTTTGAAATATAGTGTATTAGTAAAAATTTGAGGCATGGTAAAACCAACAGACCAGGAGCCAACTGCCATTGAAAAGATAGTCTGTTACTCACAGTTCCCAAGGGGAGGGGTCACGTCATCACCATGGTGGGCCACAAGGTGAAGCACGGGGACAGGGGGTCAGATGCAGAGGGAGGAGGAGAAATTGTGGGCAACAGTCTTTGTCATAGTCACTGGGGGAGCAAGGGGTAAGGCAGGATAAGCAGGTTTAGGGTTGGCAAACTAAATAGTCTCAGGGGCTCTGGGCCTCAAGGCTGTCTGCAGTTGTCAGGTACCTGACCCTGGAGTGATCAGGGCAAGATGATAGTGGCCTGGCCTGTGAGAACCGCATGAAGAGGGTGGTTGGGATATGGGCTCTGGCATGTTGGAAGAGCAAGCTGATTCTCACCTCTAGGAATGGCTGCCTCTGGGAGGGGCAGTCCCTCCAGGGTCCACAGGCTGCAGATGTCAAAGCATCAAATACAGACACTAAAGACATGGTTAATACAAGGGTACATCAGGGGCCCTAAGAACACATCTGTGCCATTTGATGGAGGGAGAAACTGAGCCTCAGACAGGGAAATGGCCTTATCCAAGGTCAACTGGGAAATCATGCTCTGGATCTATCTGTGACTCCTGACTCCAGAGCCAGTGCTCTGGCCATCAGTGTCCTGACAGCCCAGGCCCATCTGGACTCTATCTTCTTTCTGGTGGCATGACACTGTGAGAGGCCTGGAACTGAGTATAAGGGCAGAGTAAGAACCAAATTAGGAGGGATTATTCCTTTACCAGTGGTCACCCCTTAACAAGTCCATCCCATTTCCATCTTCAGAAAGTCCATAGTGCCTGCCTCCATTTCCTCAGTTTTCTCGTCAGTAAAATGGGCGTATGAACAGCTCCCTAGCCAGGCTTTTGAGAAGATTAATTTAAATGACCTGGAATGCACATCCAGCACATAGGAAGTGCTCAGTATATAAACATTACCTATAACATACGTGGTAACTGCTGATCTTACCATTATTGCTGATGTCTCTACCCTATCACCCACTTTCTCACCCTTAACAATCTGGCTTCTGTCCAATTCATCTCTCTAGAAGGTTAGCATTGGATATTCTTCTATAAGAGCAAATTTGGATTATGCTTTCTTGCTCTGGTCACACACTTTGAGGGAGATGATGACCTTATGTCTACAGCAAAAGGAGAGCAACTGGGAGGATGAGAGGCTAGAAGTCATTTCCTATGAGGAATGCTTAAACAAACTTAGGATGCACAAGAGCTGACCTGAGGGATGGGCACAATCAAGTGTCTGAAAGGCCGCCTGCCCCACGACAGCTCAGGATGGTCCCACAGCAGGTGGAATCAGGGCTGATGGGGAAGCTGCAGGAGATGATTTCAGCTCAGTGAGGAAGCACTGTATGCTCCACAAGAATGGAACAGAGAGGAAGCTGACCCCTGGTATCTCCCCCTCTGGACAAGCCTGCTCAGAGCCACCAGAAGAATCCTCTTGAAGCTGATTGTGTCACTCTCCCGCACTCCAGAACTGTAACCTGCAGCTCATTTACCCGGTAAATAAAGCCCCATCCCGTAGCCTGGCATTCAAGGCCCTCCCACATATGAACCCCTCTCACCTCAGGATTATCTTCCCCTCCCCATAGACTCCCTCTGGCTCAAATTGGACCATCACTCTTCCTCGGGCAGGCCTTGCATTTTGCTGTCTCGGAGCCTCGCCTCGGCACATTTTTTCCCCTTCTTTATACCTTTATACCCCCTCTTCTATCTCCCCTTGTTCAGTCCTCCTCCTGCTGCAAGTCCCAGCTCCATGGTCACCTTCTCCATGATGCCACCAACAGAAGCGCTCGCTCCCTCTTCTCACTCCTGCAGGACCTTAGTGGTGCCTCTCTCAGGACACTGACCAGCAGGAGGGTCAAGTATGTATGTGGCTCATTCTCCCTATAAGGTTCAAGTATTCTCCCTATGAACTTCTGAGAAGAGGGGCCGCCTCTTGTTCCTCCTCCCATCCAGCATGCAGCTCAGCACCAGGATCCTATTGGATAATTGTTTCCAGAAGCTCCTGAGAGTGGAAACCCAGTGTCTGTTCACTCCCAGCAGCTCTCCTTCTTGCATTTACTTTTCACTCGATGCTGTTTTACTTCCAATTCCAATTTGCTCCTTAAGGTAGCCCTATGAGATAGGAAGGACAGTTAACGTCATCTCTCTTTTACATAAGAAGACACTGAGAACTAGAAAGTTTAGGTCACTTATTCCAGGTCATATGGTGAAACCGGCAAGAGCCACCTGGAATGCTGGTCAAATCTTTCACGACTGACGTGTCCTCTCTTCTTCTTGATGCCCAGCAGGGCTCCCATCCTCACAGCCTGTTGTGGACACTGTGCAGGGCAAGGTCCTGGGGAAGTACGTCAGCTTAGAAGGATTTGCACAGCCCGTGGCCGTTTTCCTGGGCATCCCTTTTGCCAAGCCCCCTCTTGGACCCCTGAGGTTTGCTCCGCTGCAGCCTGCAGAACCATGGCACTTCGTGAAGAACACCACCTCCTACCCTCCTGTGTAAGCTGTGGGGTGGCTTCGGCATCTTTCAGTGGAGTGTTTGCCTCAAAGTGATGCAGGAAGGAACCAAGGAAATCCCCTGAGTGGCTTATACTTTGTTCTGGAATCCTCAAGATCCTGTAGATCTTTAGATACTTTCCAGAACTCTCACAGCATTCTAGAACCCTTTATTCAACTCATATTTATTGAGCATCTACTGTGTGCCAGACATGTTCTAGGTTACTTGGATGCATTAGTGAACAGAACAGAAAACCCTTCCTTCAGGGAGCTTGAATTCTAGGAATAGAGATGGATAATAAACAACATGCAAACTAATAAATGAATTATGTAATATATTAGAATATGGTAAGAGCCTTGGAAAAACATAAAAAGTTGAGCATGTGCAAGGGATCAAAAGTAGTGGTTCTGTTTATTCTCCTGTCTTGAACTTTGCCATTTTTGGCCAGTGGGGTAAGCCAGGCAGTGTGTGGCAGGGGGGTGCTTTAGAGTGTTGACCAGGCAAGTTCTGAACTCCCAGGTGTGTCTAGCCACCTCGTCATGAGTGGAGCAATGGCTTGTGTGTCCTAGTCACTCTGGCCGAGTTGAGCAAAGAAACCCCTCAGCCACCACCCAGGGCACCCGGACTTCTACGTGCAGCCACTCAGAACTTATTCATCTCAGGAAGGCATTTTTGGGAATTTCCAGGGTCCTGCCTTTTGCTGTCTTCTTTTCTTGTTTCTTTTCTTTCTTTTTTCCTCTTTTCTACTGTTCTCCCCTTCTTTTCTTCCTTCCTTTAAAAACAATATTCACTGTTTTTATTTCCTGATTGCAAGTTTAATACATACTTACTACAGAAAAGTGAGGAAGTACAAGCAAGGAAAGATAAGAGAATGAAAAACATATATGATTTCACCCTAGAGAGAACAGCTACTCATGTTTTAGATACTGTTTTTCTAGTCTTTTATCTGTTGCATATTTTCTACCTGAAAAATGGAATTACAAAATCTTCTGCACCCAATTCAACATGTGTGCATGTGTTTTCTTCCACACCAACAAGCAATTCTCAGACACCAACTGGGTGTCCTACAATTCAACTCAATTCAGACACTATTTACCAGGAGATGGTACCAGGTGCCACAGGTTAAGGGCTCAATCCCACAAGACTGCCCTCTGCTTCAGATGCCCATCACAAGTCCAGGTTTTTTCCTTTGCTGCTGACCAACCAGCTATAAAGCAGATGTTCCCATTACCCCCTTCTAATAATGATTATCATCATAAATGTCTATGTATTTTTTTGCTGTTTATTTTGCATTTATTTGAATACTAGAGATGTTAACTCTTTTTTTCTTTTCTGATATTTGAATTTTTTATTTTATGAACCTTATGCCCCCTGTTTTTGGTGATCTGGGGAATGAACCCCCAGGATGGAAATCAGGAATATGTCTTTGCAGTCTCTGACTCTGACACTTGATTGCTGTGTCATCCAAGCATATTAGTACCTTTGTTTCCTCATCTACACACTGGGGGCAGTGATGCCTGCCTTCTGAGTACAATGAGATCAGGAAATGTTGCTTATAATGTCATTGGAAATGTAAGCAGTCCGTCGTATGGATCTTTCTGAGCGTGTGAAGGAAGGATTTCTAATCTTTCTTTGCCTCAATTTTCTTGTCTATAAAATATGGATAATAATGGAACCTATGTCATGGGGCTGATTTGAGGATTAAATGAGTTCATACACCAGGAGTACAACACCTGATATGCTAGGAGGACTCAGGAAATGTTACCAATTATAATCTATGTTGGATCTTTAGAATCTGTTATTAGGGCAAGCAGTAGTGCTTGCCTGGGATGGGTGATGACATAATCTTAGCATGTCAGGACTGCAAGACCCTTAAAGAAATCACTCCCCTGACCTAGTCTGGAAGTTTGAGGCCTAGAGCAGGGAAGGAATTCAACCAAGGTCACCCAGCGTCATAGATGCTGAGGCAGTACTAGAACACAGTTCTTTTAATGTAGCCCCACAAATATTTCATCCCTGACCCATCGTATGACTTAAATGTGTGGCATTTGAGTGACTTCTCATGATTTATGGAATCTTCCATTGACTAGAACTCCTGGTTTACCTGATGGAGGAACATGGTCACACTACAGCTCACAATAGAGTCTAGGAGAACTAGGCTGTGTTCAGTGCATGCTGGAAATGGCCCTCTCCCATGTGTATAAGCAGCCTCCACCTCTTGACCCAGGGCATCCTGAAGGCTCTGGGAAGGGGCCAGGTGCCCGGCCTTCTCACTGTACGCAGCTCTGGAAGACTTTGGTGAGCCCCAGGGCCTCCCAGCCAGATCCCTATACAGCCTCCTGCTCCCTTCCAGTGTCTCCAGTCTGGCAAGAACAACTCTATTACAGATCTAACCCTCCCAGTCCAAGGCCCAGACTAAGTGTAGGAGACATCTCCTTGCTTAGCTCTGACTGAACCTCAGGAGTTCTTCTCTTCCCTCCCCTCCCAGGTGCTCCCAGGACCCAGTGGCGGGGCAGATGCTCTCAGACCTCTTTACCAACAGAAAGGAGAACATTACCCTCAAGTTTTCTGAAGACTGTCTGTACCTAAACATTTACACTCCTGCTGACTTGACGAAGAAAAGCAGGCTGCTGGTAAGCAGTGGGAACCACTGGTCAAGGCTGGTGAGTTCCAGCCTCCAGGATCTTCTGGTGGAGACTGGAAGAGGATGAAGGCAGTTTGCGGTGGGGACATCACCAGCCAAGGCTGTTTCAGGGGACCCAGGGATTTCTTTACCCACCACAGCCAGACCACGTGACCACAGGAAATGCAGTATAGAAAATTTTATCCTTCTTCCCTTCTAGGTTCTTTGATTGGCCTAAAAACTAAATTGACATAAGACAGATTAACAGGAGAAAAACAAATTTAATTTCATATATACAGGAGCTCATAAAAATATGAGACATGAAAAGGTAACCAAAGCAAACAGCATTTATGTATTTTAGACAAAGAAACATTAGTGACCATTTGACAAATCAAAGGGTTTTAGGTTGGGGTAGCAAGTTAAAGAACAAGTAACAAAGTTTGTTTATACAGCCTTCTTGGCCTTGAATTCCCTCTCTCTGCTGATAAGGATGCCTTTTACCCTCCAGGTTCAGGGAGATTACCCTTCACGTGGGAGATGTATTTTCCACTTTCAGGAGACAAAGGAGAGTTAGAGTGTCCTTCTTATGCTGGTGTTTCTTGACTAAGTTTAATTCAAAATAATCAATATACTAGAATGGTGTATTTGGGGCGGCATGTTCTGTTCCCCTTATCATTAGTTTCCCTAGTGACAGACATGGGATAATTTGAAGGGTTTGCTGTACATCTGTAATGTACATTAATTTTTCCAGTTCTGTTAAGCTAATAGAAGGATAAGAATGATTACCCTTAGTTGCTAGATTAGGAATCTGAAACCCAGAGCAGCCAAGACAGAATTTCCAATTAAGTTAGAACTTGAAGGAATCCCAGAGACGAGCCAACAGCCCAACCCTTCTTTACAGGTAGAGAAACTGAGGACCAGAGAGGGGAAAACAAGGTCACACATAGGTTTTGCAGGATGAGAGCATGAGTCTTCTGATCTTCAAACCAGTGTTCTTTGACGCATACCAGGAACTTGAGCCTGTGTGGTTTTTCTTCAGCACACAAGGATCCATCTCTGATGGTGTCCCATGACAGAAGTGGGGAGGAGGGGGCACAAGGTCCATCAATCCAACAAACACTTTCCTTTGCCTTTGGCCAACTATCTGGGACTTTGTTGTACCTCATTTCCCTCCCTGATTGTCTTTGGCACGGGCTGATGACACAGTGAGTCAGCATTTCCTGAATAAAGGGAGGCCCAGAGATGGGGCAGGCTTCCAGACCAGGCAGGAGGGTGGGGAGGGTCTTCTGGAAAAGGAGGGGATTCCTGAGGTGGAGAAGGGAGGGGTGTGAGCACCCAGCCATCTCCCAGGACACACCTGGCATGATGCCCAGGAGTGGAGGAGGTGTCTGTGAACTTGTGACTAGAAGTGGCATTGCACATGCTTGGCTCAAAGAGGTGGGGACAAAGGTTGTCTCATTCATTAATTCATTCATTGATTCATTTATTTCTTCTTCTATTACATACTCAGTGCCCTCATATACATAGGTAGACTTGGGGGTTAGGAGAAAGGAAGAACATAAAACAACTACCACGCAGCCCCTTCCTTTGAGGATCTTACCCTCCAGGCTGCACAGAGAGAGACTAACTTCAGCAAATCACTGCTGACCAGCTGTTGGCTCAGCCTTCACTCAGAGATGACTCACATTCAGTCCCTCCACCTGGAGGTAGGCAGAGATCAGACGTGTGGGAGGAACAGGGATGCTGGGAATGTGGAGTCAAGACAACCTGTATATATGGACACAGGTTCTGGAACTCCAGGACTTGGGTTTAAATCCTGGTTCTGCCTTTTACCAGCTGGAGGATCTGGCTCTGTTTCCTCAAAATGGGAATAATCACATATGAGTATTCAGTGATGAATATCAAGCTTTACATCAGTGTCTGACAAAGTACACAAGGACAGCACTCCTGACATGTTAGTTAGAGTTGAAGTTGTTGACCTAAAATAAATAAACAGCCAGTTGTGTTATAAGCACAGTGGATTTATTCAGGAATGGCCATTCAATGCAATTCAGAACAAGCAGTCTATGGCTAACCATGCACAAATCCAGACAAACAAAGGAGAGAAACCTTCTGTTATGAAGTTGGGAGGGCCTGTTGTAAACAAAGAATCCATTGAAAGAGACTGGGAATTTGAGGTGTAGTGTCTTTTCATTGACTGAATTATGGCAGTCTTTCATCAGCTGAGGTCTTGTTGGGAGAGCAGGAATTTCTTTTTTTCTTCTGCTAGGTTAGTAAGCAATATCACTTGCTGTCGGAGATGCAAGGTATGCCTCTTCCTGTTGGGGTCTGTAGTGTGCGTTGAGTGGCACATGCCTGGGAATTCTCCGTTCTGGCCTTCTGACTCTATTTTAAATGAGGTTTCTGTCTATTAATTTTCACATTTCTCCTTTTTATCAAGATTTTTCTCTGAAAGCATTATTGATCAAGAGTCAGGTTTTTCTGGATTCAGTGTTCTTTTGTCCCTCGATGCCAGGAAGGACCTTTCCTGGGTGTAGTGTCCCACATCAGAGGGAAGGTGAACAGACTGGAAACCCATTGTGGTCACATTTGAGTAATAGGTATAGAAGGGAGACTTCTCAGGCATTTCTCTTCTAAGTCTGTACCCTTCTGATAGGTCTGGTCCAGACACCTTGGGTCTCTCTCATCAGGAGTCATCTCCTTTAATTCTGGGAAATCTTTATCTTTAGGTTACCAGACAGTGTGCAGATCCACTCAGGACTGGGTGCTTTCTTTAGATGTCCCATGAATCCAAGAGTCTATTCCCTGGAGTTTGGCAGCACAAGGATTAGTCAGCAGTACCTCATAGGACCCTTTCCAGTGAGGTTGAAGAGTTTCTGGAGGTGTCTTTTCCAACAGATGAAATCTCCAGGTTGCAAGGTGTGATGCTTAAGGTCTTCATCCCCCTGGAGTACACTGTGAAAAGATTGCTCTACCAGAACGTTGTTATTAATCAATTAATTAATTAATAAATTAATTAATTAATTAATTTATTTATTTTTGTGTGTGTAAGGAGATCAGCCCTGTGCTAACATCTGCCAATGCTCCTCTTTTTTTTTGCTGAGGAAGACCGGCCCTGGGCTAACATCCGTGCCCATCTTCCTCCACTTTATATTGGACGCCACCACAGCATGGCTTGCCAAGCAGTGCCTCGGTGCGCGCCCAGGATCTGAACCGGCGAACCCCCGGCCGCCGCAGTGGAGCGCGCTCACTTAACTGCTTGCACCACCGGGCCGGCCCCAGAACATTGTTATTTTTGATAAAAGCAATTAGGCCTTTACAATATTGAAGTATATCTCCTTTTATCAGCTGTAGATCAAGAGTCTGGGACAAGGTGCACTGGGCATCCTGTGGCTCTCTCAAAGGGTGAGAGTTTATGAGTTCCAAAGGGGGTGGATCTGATATTTAGAAGGACCAACGGCAATGCTTTTGTCTGAGGTGTTTGGAGGGTCTCTGAAAATTTGCCAATTGAATCTCAATAAGGCTGCTACTGCATTCAACTAAACCAGGGGATTGAGGGTGTAGCAAGCACAGTGAAAGTGGTGTAAAACCAGCCAAAAAGCGCAGACTTGTTGGCGCAACTGACTGGTAAAATGGATTCTCAGTCACCATGGAGTTTATCCCAGGTAGGGGTAATCTTTTCCAAAAGGACTTTAGCCACAGAAGAGGCAGTAACCTGTCTACATGAGAAGGCTTCAGTTCAGTGAGAAAACATACAGACCACGACGAAAACATATTTATATCCGTGAGGCAGGAGCAACTGTATGAAATCCATTTGCCAAGCCTCGAATGGCCCATTAGGCAATTTAAATGTCTGAGAGCAGTGCAAACAGACTTCTCTGGGTTGTGTTTTGGACAAGTGAGGTAGGCGCTTTTTCAGACTTATTACTATTTTCCCACCCATATTGATTCATGAATGCTATCATTTTGTTGGTGGACCAGTGATTTATGCATGTACCGTGGTTAGGGATGGGAATTTTAGAGTCTCTGGTAAGAATGGGTTGTTATTTGGCCCAAACCAGAGCTTTCTCTTTTTATCAAATGAATATTTGTTGAATTTCCAACCTTGTTTTTCCTTCCCTGGAGCCGATTGTTTCTTCTCGGCAGAAAAGAGAGATCCCAAATAAGGCCTAGAGAGCTTCAAAACACAGAGATACAGCTCCAGATCCAGGAGAAAACTTACCTCAAATTCCGGACTAAATGAGAAAGCGGGAAGCTCAATGGGCTCTGTGCATACGGCGCCTGTTTGGGTCATCAAATACCGTCGACCTAAAACAAATAAACAGCCAGTTATTGTACCAGCAGAATAAGTTTATTCAGGAATAGCAAAGAATTTCAACTGGGGACGTGCTCTATGGCGAACCACGTGCGAGTCCAAAAGAAGACAGAAGAAAAATGTTCTTTTATGAAGTTACTCTTGTAGTAAACTAAGTGTCCATTAGTGGAGACCGGGAGTTCAAAGTGTAGTGGCTTTTTATTGATGGCGTTATGGCAGTCTCTTATTGGCTGAGTTGTTGCTGGGCAAGGAGGATTTCTTCTTTCCTTCTGCTGGGGTGGTAAGGAGGATCGCTTCCTGCTACAGATGCAAGGTATGTCTCTTCCTGTTGGGGTCTATAGTGTGAATAGAGCGGCACGTGCATGAGAGTTCTCTCTTCTGGCCTCGAACTCCATTTTAAATGAGGATTCTGTTTATTAATTTTCACAAAGGTCAGATCTTACCCGTATCCTAACAGTCTACCTGCTGCACAGTGGCCGTTGGCTGCAGTGTGCTGGGTGACTCACCGTGTGGACTCTGGAGCCAGACTGCCTGGGTTCATGGCCTGCTTCTACCACTCATTAGCTGTGTGACCTCGGGCAGGTTCAGTTTCCCTATTTGGTAAATGGGACAATAGTGGTCCCTACCTCATGGATGGTTTATTTTAAAGTGCTTAGAAAAGTATTTGGCACATAGTTCATGTTACGGGTTCTTTTTTTCACTAACAAAATTATTACAATATTATTATTTTAGCCACTCTAACTTCTTTGCTGGGTGAGCTCTTTAAATGCAAAAGCTTTATGTTCTGAATTGTTGTGTCCACTCTCATCCTAAATTTTTATCACAGTGCCTGGCACACAGTAGGTTCTCAGATCATGTTAGCCAAAGGATTGAAGAATTCTCGGAGGAGGTGGCTTTTAGGCTGGGTTTTGGAGGATGGGTAGGATTTGGGGATGAAGAGGAGGCAGAGGGAAAGAATATAAGAAAGACATACCATTGGGGGCGTGTGTGCTTCTTGAGATGATCATTCACATGTGAGAGAAGTTTAATTCACCACATACAAGACAACAGAGATGAAGCTGAAGTACAAGGGCTGCAGCATGCAGAGTGTGCTGAGCAGCGTGACGGACGGATGCGTGAGGACAATGGGAGTGTTGGGAACAAGATGACACCCTTAGCCCCAGCTCTTCCCGTGATGGTGTTCTCAGCATGAAGAGCCATGAGCAGAGGAGGCAGTGAGCATGAGGAGACAGGCAGGGGCAGCTAGGATGCTTTGAGTGGGGTGGTGGCCTGGGCCCCAGCAGGGAGAATGGGGGAGGAGAGCAACAGGCTGCTCATCCTTTGCTGGGGACTGGTAAATTCAGACCTCCTTGAGTCACGGCCGTGAAGTAGGCGTCCAAACCAGACAATCTCTTGAGGTTCTTCCCAGCTCTGCTTCCTGTGTCCAGTATGGTGTCTTCCTCCCTGTCCAGGTGATGGTGTGGCTCCATGGAGGTGGTCTGGTGTTAGGCGGAGCATCAACCTATGATGGGCTGCCCCTCTCTGCCCATGAAAACGTGGTGGTGGTGACCATTCAGTACCGCCTGGGCATCTGGGGATTCCTCAGGTAAGATATTGAGCTCTCCTCACTGCACACTGGCCCCTAAAGCAAAGATGCTAGGACCCCACTCTTGTCATGTGAGCCCTCAAGGGGACCTTTGCTAAATTCTCTAGTAAGGCACCCAAGTCCCTTCATAATTGGGCTCCACCTACCTTCTCCTTCCCCAGCCACACTGGTCCACTGCTTCTGAGCTTTTGCATGTGCTGTTCCCTAGCCTGGAATGCCCATTCCACCTGACAAACTTTTAGTCATCCTGTAAGGCCTAACCAAAATGCCTGTTGTTAGTGCTGTTGAGTTGATTCTGACACCTAGTGACCATGTAGAGCAGAGCAGATCTCTGCCTGGTGTGTCTGTGTCATCCTCTCATCTTCTGGTGCTGTATCAGACAATGCTCCACTGCTATTCTTTGGGTTTTCATGGCCAATTTTTTTGGAAGTGAGTGGCTAGGTCCTCTTCCAAGTCTGTCTTGGGCAGGAAGCTCTGCTGAAATTTGTCACCATAAGTGACCTTGCTGGTATTTGAAATACTGGTGGCATAGCTTTCAGCATCACAGTAACATGCAGCCACCACAGTATGACATCCGACAGACGGGTGATGTGGTTCCCTGATGGGGAAACAAACCTGCGCCACGACAGTAAGAGCACTGGATCTTAACCACTAGACCTCTAGGACTGGCCAACTCAAATGTTACCTCCTCTGAAATACTCATCTCCTTTTCACCTGTGCTGCCCCAGCACATTGCAACCTCTAAAATGCTGGTTAGCACGCAGCACAGCAGTTAGAGGCTTACACATCTTACCTTTTGGGAAATTAAGGAAGGAGCAGACTCGTGGTGGGAGCGCAGTGAATGCTGTGGGTGAAGGAATGGGTGGCTGGAGCTGGGAGGTTGTTGCAGCATCTGATCCCAGTGGGCAACCCTACCAGGAAATGTCAGGTCCCCTCATCCCATTTCCTCCTGAATTTGGCATATGCATGAGTCAAGGTTAGAGTCTTCTCCACCTAGTCTCCATGGAAACAGGAACCAGGTATCCTGAAGGACATGGGTCCTGTGAGCCTTTCCTTAATGCACCGGCCCCAGGGCCTCTGACCCTGAGATGGATGATAGTGGGCTGGGGGAGGGGTGGGCTGCTCTCCGGAAAGTCTTATGGAGCTGATGGAGGGTCGTGACCAGGCAGGTGATGTCCCAGGATGTATTGGCTTCATTGAGACTCCTCATCACTTTCATCCATGGCCTGTTTGTCTGCTCCCTATTACAGGAAAACTGCTACATTAGATCTCCTCACTTCCTCTCCTCCAAGCTTCTCCTCTACCTACGCTTGTCAGGTTTTCACCCTGACCATTAGACTGTCCTGCTCAAGGTCAACAATGACCCACCACCAGTATTGGCCTAACCCTGGCTAACATCCACACCATCTTGGCAGCATCCACGCATGATCGTTCATACTTTTGGAAATGCTTCCTCTCTTGGATCCTGACCACCTTCTACCTCACAGACTGCCCCTTCTCAGACCCTTCACTGGACCCTCCTCCCTATTCTCAGGCCTCTGTGTGTGTCTCCCTCTCCATCTCCATGCTGCCCTGAGTGACCTCAGGGGGCGCTTTCACAGCTCCCTATTTTTAGCCACAACTTCCTCTTTGAAACCAAGATGCAGATCATTGACTACATCCTTCTACCTCCTGCTGTCTCCACTGGACGTCTAAAGGGCACCTCACACTTCACAAGGACAAACCTAACCCTTGACTCCCACTGCTCCTCCCCCAAAACACTCCTACTTTCCCCACAGGGCCCCCTGCTCAGCTGCTGGCAGCTCCATCCTTCTGGTTGCTTGGGATAAAACCTTGTGCTCAGCCTTGACTCTTCTCTTTGTCTCACACCCCACATCTAGTTGGTCAGCAAATCCTCCAGCTCCACCTTTAAGATTCAATCAGAATTCAACCACTTCTCACTTCCTACCTTCCGCCCACCCTAATCTAAGCCCTCTGTCTCTTCTCGGGATTATTGTAATAACCTCCTACTTTTATAACCCTGCTAATTTTATACTCTGTCTGATCCATAGAGTAGCCAGAGTCATCATTTAAGACAGAAACGAAGTCTTGTCCTTCCCCTGCAGTGGCTTCCCTCCTTACTTACAGTGACATCGACGTCCTCACCAAGGCCCACAGGGCCCTCTCTAGCTGCATGTCCTACACTCACACTTTGTTCACTGGACTCCAGGGCCTTTGCACTTGCTCTTTCTTCCACTTGGAATTCCCTTCTTCGGATATTTGCAAGGCTCTGTGCTCGTTCATTCAGGTCTCTACTCAAATGCCACAGCCTCAAAGAGGGCTTCCCTGGTTATATGATCTGAAATAGGACCCCACTGTCCCACCTCTGGCTCTTACCTTACCAGGTTTTATTTTTCCCGAAAGCACTTTCACTACCTGACATTACATTCTATACTTATCTGTTTATTTGTTCATGATCCATAGGGTGAGATTTGTGTACTCAGAGGTTTGGCTGTTTTGTGCTCAGATGGGCTCCTAGCTCTTAGGACAGTGTGTGCACATGGTAGATGCTCAATAGATAGATGGGGATGAAGGACTGTAGAGCCCACAACAGAACAATGCTGCAGGAGAGGAAGGCGGGTGAAGACCTCTGTGTCAGGGCTGTGGAAGCCTCGTCTTATTACAGAAGGCTCACCTAGAGCCCCCCCACATCTATGGTCCTGAGAGCCCTGCCATGTCATCTCTGCTCCCACCCTCACTCTATTCTCTCACAGCACAGGGGACGAACACAGCCAGGGAAACTGGGGTTACTTGGACCAGGTGGCCGCACTGCACTGGGTCCAGGAGAACATTGCCAACTTTGGAGGAGACTCAGGCTCTGTGACCATCTTTGGAGAGTCAGCAGGAGGTGAAAGTGTCTCTGTTCTTGTAAGTGTTCCTGGACCTGATTTGGCTCCTGATGGGACCCTTGGAGACGAGCGGATTTAGCCATGGGCACCTTTACTCACAAGACCTGGACCAAAGGCTGACGCCACCTTGCACAGCATTAGATTGTGGAGAGCTAATGGCCAAACACTCTTTGGCCCCCAGGAAGCTCAGAGCTCAACTTAGCATCCTGGGGCCATAAGAAACTCCAATAGTAGCTGCAACAGTGACATTCCTCTACTTCTCCCTTTTTTGATTTCTTTCTCTCCTTCCTAATCATTTTGACATATAACTCACCTCACTTCTCTTGGGAAGTAGTGGTGGGTATAAATTATGAATAAGAAGAGGCAACCGTGAGGGTTGGGGCAGAGTGTCATTGTTGGGCTTGAAGCCACCTCCACATGTGAGGGGGACACAGGCACTAAGAACAGGTCAGCAGCCTCCTCTGAGGTGGTCTGACGTCTTGTCCCTGGCCAAGAAGGAGGGCAGCAGTCTCTGGACTGAGGGATGGAGCGGGGTTGGGGAAGGTGAGTGATAAGGAGGAGGGGTCAGAATGTGAGATGGGGAGGGATGGGACAGGGGATTTGGGACACAGACATGACCTGGGATCCTGGTGTGGGGAATGGGGTTGAGGGAGACACTGATGGAAGAAAAGATGGAAAACCAGATTAGAAGTTGCTGGGAGCTGTAAGGAACCCTCTAGCTGCCTCAGAGTTGAGCAGAGAGTCACCACTATTACTGTATTTTTAAAACATGTGTTGGTTTCATAACTGAATACTCAGAGGGAAATGTTTTTATATCTAATAAAATGGAGCAAAAGGAAATGCACAGATGAACCCAAAGAAAAAGTCATCCATAATTCCATTATCCAGGGATATTCACTATGAACATTTTGACATGTATTTTTCTAGTCTTTTTTTCCATGACTCCCATTTCTGTCTGTCTATCTATCTATCTGTCTGTCTATCTATCTATCTATCTATCTATCTATCTATCTATCTATCTATCTATATCATCTATCTATCTAGGATTTTTTAAATAAAAATCTTCCTTAGCATTATAATATAACAAATATTTCTCTAAACATTAAGTTCTGTTTCATAATTTTATTTTTTAAAGTCATGTAGTATTCCATGGTAAGAATTAAAAATAGCTTATTTATCCAATCTCATAATATTGGAACATTGTTTTATTTCTAATTTTTACTATTTTGAACAGAATGAGCATTCTTAGAAATTATTATGTGCCTTAGTGATCATCTTTTTTAGGATGAATTCCGAGCAATGGAAATGCAGAATCAGACTCGTGTCTTTAAATTGTTGTTAGGAAATTCTAACCATCTTTCAGATGCTTTTTATTGTTATAATCAGCACATACCACACACACTTCCTGTCTGTCCCTCACTCTGTGTTAGTGGCTCCCTCTAGCTGAGGGAATTTTCCTTGGAGAAGCTGGGTCCCAGAGTCATCTTGGGGAACAGGCCAGGCCAGGAGAGGACCTGTCATGTCCACTGAGCCCCAACCTCCAGGGGAATGGTCCAGGGCAGAACTGTGGATGGGGGTAGCTCATGAAGACCCCTCCCTGTGAGCATAAACTCTCTTCCTCTCCCTCTCCTCACAGGTGTTATCTCCACTGGCCAAGAACCTCTTCCATCGGGCCATCTCTGAAAGTGGAGTGGCTGTCACTTCTGTCATGGTCAAGAAGGACTTAAAGCCCGCAGCTCAGGTAGGTCTCATGCTGGACCACCCTTGCACCCTTTGCTCTGCTCTCCTGGAGGCTTCCGGGGCCTTTTTTTCTGTGAGATCCAGCTGACATCCTTAAAGGATCACAGAAGTGAGAATGGCTGAGTGGGAAGGGCAAGGAGACACCTTACCCAACCTCCCAGTTATCCAGCTGAGCAAACCGGGCAGAGAGTGGAGGCAGCTGGTCAAGGTCAGAGGGTGATCAGGGCAGAGCTGGGACTCAAGCTCAGGACTCTGGACTGTCAGCACAGGGCACTGACCACTGGCCACTGACCACACTTCCTAAAGTGTGCCACATGGGGTGCCAGGCCAGACAGTGGGCAGTGGAGCGTCACTGTGTGTTGTCTCTCTCAGGGTCTGAGTTCTGGTGAAGCCACTTGGAGCATGTGAGCCTGGAGTGGTCCTTCCCTGAGGGCATTGTGACTGGGGGTTGTTCCTAGAGAATTCATTCATTGATTCATTCATTCACTCAACAAATAATTTTGATATAGCCAGACATCTAGCAACCTCATGATGTTTCCATCCTATTGGAGGAGACAGATTAAGGATTACATAATCATCCAAATTATAAATGTCAACTGTGACAAGAGCAATAAGGCAGAGGTACCTGATGTCATAGCAGGATCCAAAAGGAGTAGTTAGTCCAGTGTGTAGGTGGAGGTTATCAGGAAACAATTCCTGAAAACCGTGATCAATGATTTGAGATCAAAAGGATGAGGAGTAATTTACTTAGTGAGAAAGGAATATTCCAGGAAGACGAAATAGCATGTGCATATGTCCTGTCTCAGGAGGAAGTACCTCGAGTGAGATAGAGTGAGAAAGGCTGATGTGGTCAGAGCAGAAGGAACAGAGGGCACCTGGAGTGAGCTGAGGATGGGGACACTGCAGGGGCCATGCTGCACAGGACCCTGTGAGGACTTTGTCTTTATCTGGAGGCTGTTAGGAAGCCAAGGAAGAGTGAGCAACAGGCGGCTCTGCTGAGGTTGCCCACTGGAGTCAGTGATGTGGAGAGTTTGGTAGGGCTGTGAGAGCTGGCTTCCTGGAGTGGTGGGCGCAGCAGCCAGACTTAGAGGGGCTGGAAAGTAGGGGGAGAGAAAAGGAAGACACCAGGAATTTTTGAGAATGTTTTTCAGAATTCTTTGGTAAACAGCAGAAGCCAAGTTGACCAGGCTTAAGTGGAGAAGACAGGCTTTATTTAAAGGAAACCAATGGCAGAGATGGAGCTGGATTTTGCTATCAAACAGGAACCAGAAATTGGGAAAATGAAGTGTATCTAAGACTCTTATTATTGCTCTTTCTCTCTCTCTCTTATTCATTCTCTCCCTCTCTCTCTCATCCTCTCATACTTTCTCTCTCTCTCTCCTCTACTTCTCTCTGTGCGTTTTTATTTATTCAACAAATACATCCTGAGAGCATTGATTCTGTGTCAGACACTGTTCTAGGCTCTGGGTGCCCTACACACTCTCCATGGCCCCGCCTTCATGGAGCCTGCCTTCTGTCCATCTGCGTCTTCTCCTCTGGTCATTTTGAAAGTGGTTTGACCAAGTCCAAATGTCTAGTAAGTGGATGAACCAAGATTTTAAACCAGACAGTGTGATTCTGGGCTCCATGGTCTTAAGCCCCACTCCATGCTGCCTCTCCTTAGATGTTCAGCTCTGAGATCCTTAGGCCCATTTTAATAGAGATAAAGTAACAGAGATGTGGTTGTTTAATTGGCATGCCTGGAACCAGGACCCACACCTGCTGATCTAGAGTATTTTCTGCCATCCCCTTCTGCTGCCTTTAGAAATTGAGGTTGGGATGGAACACCTCTTTATTGACCGAGGCAAGGGACTTGGCTCTTGAATTCTCTGTTGCCTGTGATCTCTGCAGCAATTTGCCATCTTTGCTGGGTGTAAAACCACCACCTCTGCTGTCCTTGTTCACTGCCTGCGCCAGAAGACAGAGGACGAGCTCCTGGAGACGTCACAGAAGGTGGTAGGTATATCCGTTCTCGTGGCCACACAAGCCTCTCTCTCGTAAACTTGGCCCAGACTTCACCATTTCAGCTGTCTCTTTGCCCCAGAGAAACTACCTGGGACAGTGTCTCACCTCTCAGGAACAGTGTAAGCCTCTGGACCTGATGGAGTATTTCTTTTTCTTTTTTCTTTTGACATATATCAAACTTTGGCAATGTAATGAACAATTGTGTAATAATCTCCTACCTGTATTAAAACTTACTATTTTGCCATTCTTGTTTTCAGATATAGTTTTAAGAAATTAAACATTAACTATTTCCAAAGGTAACTACCACCCTACACTTTGGGGTAGGATATACTAAAAAACAATGATTTTCAGGAGGGTTGTCACAATTTATCTTGGTTAATTTAGAAACTACCTCAATTATAACCCCCGTGGTGGCCCAGTTTTCTAGCTTTTCCGAGACTGACTCAATAGTGATTCTAGGTTAACTATACATCCACCTATTCACCCATTTAACCAACCAACCATCCATCCATTCATCCATCCTTTCATCGTCTTGTTATCCATCTATCCATCCACCAATCCATCCAATTCATCAATATGCTTTCATCAATCTAGTATCAATCCATCCAAAATTTCATTCATCTATTATCAATCATCCATGCATCATCAGCCACCATATATCTTCATTGCATCATTCATCCTTCTAAAATCAATTATCCATCCATCACCTATCTGGTAGTTATCATCCATCTATCCACTTATCCATCCAGTTCACTCATACTCCATGTATTGACCAACTCCTCTCGTCCACTCATCCATCATCCATGCTAGGTGCATGGGGTGGGGAATAACAGGGAGAGTGATGCAGACATGAATCAGATGTAGTCCCTGCTCAAAAAGAACAATCTATGGAGAAACATTATACGCTTCATGGATTAAGTGTGGTGGGAGTATAGAGACAAGAAATATTTATGATAGTGAGCAAGGATGCTTCACACAGAAGGTGATATTTGAGGATTGATGGATGGCTATGGCAGTGTGTCATCACAGGGACAGATACCCAGAGAATACAGCATCTAGGGCCAATGACAATTATTCTCTTTGTGGGAGAAGGGTATGAGTGTGAGCTCAGGAGTAGCCTGAGCCCCTGGACTCTCGGTCTGAACTTTGGGCTCCTGAGGATGTTCCTGTACCCCCAAGGACGGGCTGCTAGCACTGAACTCTGCTCTATTTCAATGGGTTGAGTCCAGTGTGGTCTTGGGGTTTGGCTCCTGGTTTCTCAGGCTCAAATAACATGACCAATGTGTTCAAAGAATTGAAATAGAACTGCTCTCTGATGCCTGGAAAGAGGAAAATTTATTTCAGCATTCTCCATGTGGCAGAAGAGGAACCAGTTATAAGGGGAGATTTAGTGAATTTGAGAAAACCCAGAAAACATAAAAGCCCATGTTACTCTTCTGAGGTTGTCTGAGACCACATGGAAGTGTTACCATGATTACCCTCACTCTCAAAAACATCCACACACAGACACACACAGATGCACATCTGGCTGGTATGGTTACACCCATAATAGAGGGACGCTTACTGGTCACTTGCTGCATAGTGGTCAGACCTGTTAGCTACAAGGTAACGGTACAATCAGTGCAATCTTGGTGAACAAACAACAAAGAAAAGTGTAGGATGGGGTGAATTTCCAAGAGCTTCTATGAGTCAGGACTTTCTAATGCAAGATGAGAAAATTCATCTCAGAGTGCCTTGAGCAGAAAAAGGAGTGTGTTGCAGCAGAATCTTCAGGTAACTAAATGAAAAGTAAACTATAGTTCAAGTAGAAGGCTTCAGGCTTGGCTGCATCTAGACACACATATGATATAATTAAGAATTTCTCTGTATCCATCAGCTTTTTACCTCTAGTTGTTGGTTTCATTCTCGGCCAGGTTTGTCCAGTGAGGAGGTGAAAATAAAACAGCACTCTAGACTTACATCCTATAGGCTTAGAGACTTTCTTTCCCAATAACTCCAACAAAAGCTTTGGGATGAACTCCACTGGAGGGACATGGACCATGCCCATCCTTGAATTAATCTCTGTGGTCAGGGAGATAAGGCACGATGGGTCACATATAGAGGCCTGGATCCACGGGGTAAGAGTGGGGAAGAGAGAGGTCTCCCAAAGGAAAATTGGGATGTTGTAGCCTAGGGGAACAAGAAGGGGAAATGGGTGGAGGGCAGGGCAGGCACAACCACAGACATCCTCTCCAGAGCTCCCCTTCCCATCCTACACCCACATCCTGTGCTCATGCTCAGCGGAGCCAGTGTCCTGCCCGCTTCTTGCCCCAGCCCTGGTGGCATGTGTGGGAGAGCCTGATTCCTTTGGCGCACAGCTCACAAGATCAGCTTTTCTCTCAGGAAGCCTTCTCACCCACATCCTCTGCTTTTTTCTTCATAGAAATTTATCCCTCTTGATTACCTTAGAGACACCAGAACAGTAAGGACCTTTGGTTTCTTGATTACAGGTGTTACGTCTTGACACCTTTAAGCTCCAGTGAAATGTGAATGAAAGAATTCCCCCTGTGGACTCTTAGTAACTACCTGTGTCTATATTGCTGAGGCCCAGAGAGGGGCAGTGACTTGCTTGGGTAACAGAGCCAGGAGGACCAGACGTAGGACTGGAACCCCTTCTTCTGACTCCCATTCCAGTGCTCCCAGTCTTCAACTCTGTCCCCCTCAGCCAAGTCTACCCTCTTCTTGTTTACATTTCCTGCTCCCAAAAATGCCCTCTTGAGATAAAGCTAGACTAGAAACTACCACTCTGGGGAGATGGGGATAAGTGGGTGAGGGGTTTCTTCAGGAGCCTTCATTGAGGAGCCCAGATCTTCTCCTGGAGGCTGCAGGGTTGACTGGCTGTGCAAGCTGCACTGTCTGCAGGGCCGTCAGGAAGACAGCCCAAAATCTCAGTCCTGAGGACAGCACCCTCCTCCCAGCTGTGCAGGAACCTCCAGAACCATCCTCCACATGTCCATCCTCCTCCCCTCCTACCTTCCAACGAGTTGCCCGGTACAGATGACATTACAGCGGCACCGTCCTCCAATTCTGTCCTCTCTGCTCTCTCCCTGGGGATAATAACACTTACCTTAAAGGTTTTGTGGGGATTCAATGAGATTCATTCAGTCATTCAGCAAAGATTTAATTAGCACTCATTGTGTGCCAGGACCTGATTCAAGAGCTGTGGGTAAACCAGAGAAATGGACAAAAGAGAGGCAATGTCTTCCTCCTGAAGTGAGGGAAGAGTCAATAAACAGACAAATAAATTACGTAGTGTCTGTGATAATGGTGAGCATTAGTGCCAAAAATTGGGAAATGGGTCTAGAGTTTGCTGATGGTGTGAATTTACATGGCAGGGTCGGGAATGGTCCATGAGAAGATGACATTTGAGACGAGTTCTGGAGGAGGAGAGGAAGCCAGCTGTCAGGGACACTGAAGGAAGAGTGTTCCAGGCAGAGGGAACAGCAACTGCAAAGGTCCTGAGGCAGGAGGCCAATGTGGCTGGAGTGCAGGGAGTGAGGAACAGGCCTAGGGCTGAAAAGGGAATGGAAGGGGGGTGCTTTAAATTACTTGGAATGTGATTCCAAGTGTGATGGGAAATCTTGGGAGTGTACTGAACAGAGGAGTGAGTGACCTTGGATTTCATGTAGGTGCTCTTTTTTTTTGCAATCAAATCTTTTTTTTTTTTAATAATTTTATTTATTTATTTTCCCCCCAAAGCCCCAGTAGATAGTTGTATGTCATAGCTGCACATCCTTCTAGTTGCTGTATGTGGGAAGTGGCCTCAGCATGGCCTGAGAAGCGGTGCGTCGGTGCACGCCCAGGATCCGAACCCGGGCCGCCAGCAGCGGAGCGCGCGCACTTAACTGCTAGGCCACGGGGCCGGCCCGACGTAGGTGCTCTTTGACTGTAGTATTGAAACTGAAGGTAGGGAAGGGGCAGGGCAGATGCAGGGACAACAGCTGGGAATCCACTGCACTGCAATAATCCAGGCAAAGGATCATGGGGGCCTGGATTAGCCCACAGCAGAGGGGGTGGTGACAAGGGGTTGTTGTCTGGATATGTTTGAAGTGACAGCTGACAGGATTTGCTAGTGGACAGGATGTGGGGTGTAAGGAAAAGAGAAGGGGTGAAGCAGGCCCTGGGGTTTTTGACCTGAGCCAGGTGACACACGAGGCCCACCCGGGGCAGCCACTGGCACCCACTCTGCACAGCGGCGACTCCTGCCATTCTCACTGTTGCTGGTGTCACTCAGCCCCCACTGGACGCAGCCCTGATCAGGCCCTCGTTGTCTCTCCTGGACTTTCACCATCTTCCACCTCTACTGTCCCTCCCACTCCCGTGCCCCACGGTGCTGCCAGACTCACCCTTGTAGACCCAGGTCAGGGCATGTCCCCACTTCTTAAAAGGCTGACCTTCCTGACAAGACAAACCCCCTCACCTCCATGGAGTTATCCTTCAAAACACATCTGAGTCTCTGCTCTGTGCAGACACTGTGCAGAGAACATGCTGCAGCATCTGCTCTCTCTAGTCCACGCCCCACAGCTTCCTCCAAGCCCAGGACTCTCGGGGTCTGAGGTTCCTGGGATTAGTCTGCACAGTGACACCTCTGTCAGTCTGTTCATGCTGTTCCCACTGTTTGGAATACTATTCATTCCCCAGAGCCACTGCAGATGGCAGGCACCTCCTCCATGTGGCCTGCCCTGTGTCCTCCTTCCGGAAGGAGTTGCTCCTCTTGCTTGCTTCCTGCAGCAGCCCTTTCCGAAATGCACAGCCTTTTGAAGAGAGCAGTGGAGGCACCCACATCCTTTGCCCCTATTGTCAGCCATATTGCATTAGGATTTGGGCCCTTGTCCTGCTGAGTCAGATCACTTGAGAGAACTCCTGTGCAGCCATAACTTGCCTGTTGTTCATTGAACCTTGGAGAGCAGGTGTTTGTCGTGGGAACCACAGAGTATTAAAACCTGGGGATTTTCCAGTTTCACCAGCCATCCGGGCAGAATATGACACATAGTGTG